TCCTTTCCAGGTTCGCGGGTCGATCATGTTTTTCGAGGGCGAGGTCCACGATCAGATCGTGGAGTTGGACTTGAGAGCCCTGCGCACGGCGGCTTTTGCCGCGCAGGTCCCCCCGCCCGAGCACTGGGGCGGGGAGAGCGCGAGCCTGGGAGCGGCAGCCCAGGAAGTACTGGAGCCGCCACCCGAGGCGCACTGTTGCAACGAGGCAATCGACGGGTCGATGTGCGGAAAGAGTCCTTCTCCTCCTTTGCTGCGCTGCAAACTCATCGTCGCGTCTTTCGCGGGTTTCAACGCGAGGTGCGTCGACTGGTCGTGACAAATCAGTGTCCGCGGTGTCTCAGCTGCGTTCCGTCGAAGGAGGGGGCGATGCAACATCTTTCGAGAGTGGCAGGAGGATGGGCATCGAGAGGGGCGACGAGGAGGAAGAGAATGTGCATGGTCGATCGCCCCCCGTGGCACCGCGAGCCGATCGAGCCAGCGAGCTTGACGCGTCCAGCGCGCGACCTGTCCTTCGTCCATTTGCTCGAGCTTCAAGTCCATTTTCGTTATTATCATGAGGGGCCCACTGGCCTTTCCTTTGGCGCTGCTAGCAGCGATGGCGACGGCGGCCGGCAAAGGCGCAGGAGGCGGGCTCGCAGCGATCGCCTTCCTGAAGGGGGGCAGGCAGGAGGGCGCCCTCGCGAGCAGGGGGGCCAGGGCGCAGACCATGGAGGCGGTGAGCGAGGCAGCGGCCCCCGACAACACGGCGGCGCGGTCGGCACCAGCAGCCGCCAGCAGCACCCGGCAGGACAAGAAGGAGCAGTTCGACAAGGGAGGGCAGGGGTCAGCGCCAGAGCCCAAGCGGAAGTCCAAGAAGAAGAGGAAGAAACGAGAAGGCGATGGTGGAGCTGGGCCTGCAGACGACAACTTCAGCGGGGCGCCCGATGGGATGATGGCGCGGCTGCAGAAGGGGGCGCTGAACACGATGCAAGGGCAGCGCGGGCTCGAGGGCGCGCTGTGCGACTTCCGCCTCGCCCCCGTCGACAGCGAGACGGTCGAGGCGGCGGGGGTCAGCGGCAAGGAGTACAACGACGCGGCGGAGCCAAAGGCCTACTCGCCGAAGGGGCTCGGCAGCCCGCGCATCCGGGTGGCGGAGGCGGTGGTTAACAGCTTGGCGAAGGTCGACCTGGGCAACGGGCAGCAGGCGCGGCTCGCTCAGTGCGCGATGCAGCTGCTCGGCGACGCCTTGGAGGAGCTGCCGTACCTGGCGGGGGAGCTGTTCTGGGCGTTCCGACTGAGGCGGGCCCGCTTCGACGAGAGCGAGGCGACGACGGCCTACAGCAAGCTGACGACGGCGATCAACCCGCTCACGATGCTCCCGCTGGAGGACCTGAAGCGGCTGAAGGTGCACGGAGTGGGGCCTGCCAAGCAGGAGATGCAGGAGACGGAGGACGACGGCCCACGGTGCGTGGGCGACATGGAGCTGCGCCCGATCGTCGCTGGGGGCGCCCGCGCGGCCATGCTGCGCATCTTCGACCGCGAGCAGGCCATCGCGTCCCAGGGGCGGTCCCCACGCTCGCGGCTGGAGCGCGACCTCCAGAAGGATGTGCGCGAGCTCCAGAGGAGGAGCTGAGGGACTTGCGCACGCAGATTGCGCACGTGACCGCGATGCGTCGCGCCGCCGAGAGCGAGCGTGCGAAACATATTCTCAAGGCCCTCCGAGAAAGGGCAAGCCGACTGGAGTCGCTCCCAGAGGGAGCTCCAGGCGGCCGCTGAGCGCTCCCCCGCCCCGTGACAAGGCTCGCGTAGGCAAACCCACTTTGGTGGGATCGCCCGCAATGGCAGTTGGTCTCATGGGAGGGGGGAGCGCTCGCAGGTAGAGTCAGCAGCGCCTGCGAGCGGGCCCCCTGGCTGCATCGGACCTCGTCGCCGCGCAGTCGGAGCGGGGCGCCGCCAGGTCCCCCGCGGCCGCGCGCCGACCCCTTCGCCCGATGTCACAGAGGTTTATAACGATTTTGGCGAGGCGCCTAGAGCTTCCGCTCCAGGATTTCTGTTCCAGATTTTCCAGTGGTCGGTTCGAGCGACTGGTTTCGTTCGCCTCCGTTGTGGGTTCATTTCAGTTCAGTTCAGGAGGCTGGAGAAGGAGGTGCCTTCCCTTCCCTCTGCTTCAAGGAAGAAGAGGAGGAGGCCCCCTTCCTGCCACTTTCCACCGGAAGGAGGAGGAAGAGGGGGCGAAGGTGCCCTTCCTTTCCTTGTCCCCCAGGACGTAGGAGGATGAGGAAGGCCATTCGCTTCCTTTTCCTTCAGAGGGAAGAGGAAGGCCATTCGCTTCGTTGAAGGAGGAGGCTCATTCCATTCATGTTCCCTCAGGAAGGAGGAGGAGGAGGAAATTCCTCCTTCCCTTCCCCTCCGGAAGGAGGGCGAGGGGGAGGAGGAGGAGGAGGAGCGTCCCTCCCTTCTCTTACTTTCATGACGGAGAAGGAGGAGGTTCCGTCCTAGTCCTTTCTCTCATGAGTGAAGACGATGAGGAGGTTCATTCCCTGCCCTTTCCTTCAGGAATCAGGAGGGCGATGAGGAGGTCCCTTCCCTTCCCTTTCCTTCAAAAGGGTGAGGGAGAGGTTCCGCCCCTTCCTTTTTCCGTCAGGAAGGAGGAAGGAGGTTCCTGCATTTCCCTTCCCATCAGAGGGAGGAGGCGGAGGAGGAGGTCACTTCCCTTCCCTTCCCCTTCGGGAGGGGGGGAGGATGTTCCTTCCTTTCTTTGCCCTTCAGGACAGATGGGGAGGAGGTCTTTTCCATTCCTTTTCCCTCAGAAGGAGGAGGAAGGGGAGGAAACTCCTTTCCTTCCCTCTCCTTCGGGGAGGACGAGGAGGAACGGAAGGTCCCCTTCCTGCCCATTTCCATCAGAAGGAGGAGGAAGAGGAGGAGCAGGTTCATCCCCTTTCTTTCCTTCAGGCAGGAGGCAGAGGATGCGGCCCCTGCCCTTTTCCCTCAGGAGGAGAAGGGGGGGGGGGGGCGAATGGGGGTGATCTTTCCCTGCCCCTTTCCCTCAGGATGGAAGAGGAGTAGGAGTAGAAGGAGGAGGAGGCCCCCTCCCCCTTCTCTGCCCCCCAATAAGGAGGAGAGGAGGTGGCCCATTCCCTTCCCAGCTCCTTCAGAAGGAGGAGGCAAAGGAGGAGGTTCATTCCCTCCCCTTTCCCTCAGGAAGGAGGAGGTGAGAATTCCTTCCTTCCCCTTCAGGAAGGAGGAGAAGGAAGAGGTTCCTTCTACTCCCTGTCCCTCAGGACGGAAAAGGAGGAGGTTCCTTTTTCACCGGCCAGGGCCAGACACTCCACGCGGAGGAGGAGGGATGATGTGTTGGGTGAGAGAGAAGGAGGAGGTTCCGCATACGCCCACGAGACGCGCTGGCATCATCCGCGAATCCGAGAGCCCAAAGCACGTTCATCATCGCAGTCATCATCATCTTCAGCCATATGAAAATCGTAGAAACGCGGGCCTCCGTTATGCCCCCCAACCCGTTACTTCCACCTCCCCTTCTGTGTCTATAATTGTAGTGTATTTCCTGTCTTTTTGGCTAGAACCTAGGGTTCCCCCCCGAAGCGCGCGACGTTGTGGCGTCATTTGTATGCTGGTGCGACCGTGGCTGCTGGTGCGACTGAGGGGCTGTGTGGCGGCATCATTGTTTGTCATATTCACTGTGCGACCAGAGGCGTGCGAAGTCACGCTGTGGCGCAGAGATAATCGCGCATCCTTTCTCGCCCCTGTACTGGTAGTATGTTGTATCACATATTCCTTGCAACGCGTTGTGCTCAGTCTGCAGTGGGGCCAGACGAGCAAAGCATCCGTCGCAAACTGGCTCAAGGACACTCGCGAGCGCCAGCGGAAAAAGGAACGACCGTCATCCGACACCACTGTGCCCGCTTGGCGATGGCAGTGGCTATGGTTCCCTATGGGACCGGGCGCGCTGTCACGAGTTCCCGCCGAGCGCTCGCGGCCGGCGCGCGCGGCGCGCCCAAAAGGCCTGCGAAAGGTCTCCCCCTCCTCCTGTTCCTCCTCCTCCTCCTCCTCCTCCTCCTCCTCCTCCTCCTCCTGTTCCTCTTCCTCCTCCTTTCCTTTATTCCTCCCCCGGAGGGGCGCCCCCATAGTGGGGCGTCGGGCCAAACCCCCCCCCTCTGGCGGAGGCGGGGGCCGTCGGGCCTCCGGGACGCAAGCCCCCGCGTGGGGGCGGCCCCCAGAGCGGAGCCCCTTTTCCCAGGAGTCCCTGGCCACGCAGCCCTCCACGAGGGCCTGCGTCTCAGCCAGGTGTCGAGAGCAAGTGAGAGGGACAACCTACCTCTGGGTTTGAACCTCTGCGGGGTCACTCTCAACGAACTCGGTGTTGAGGACCCGCTTCGAAACAATCCTGCATAATCTTGAGGCCCATCCGCACTGCAGCGACCTGGAGCTTCGAACGGCGTGCCAACGTCGGGGCAGCTGCTCTAGTGACCCAGCCACTCTTCTAGTGACTCTCAGCCAGGTGTCACCCGTGGGAGTCGTGTGCCGAGGGGCTCGTCTCCCCCCTCCTTCCGCCGTCGCCGTCGTTGTCGTTCGTCGTCGTGTCGTGGTGGGCCCTTCGGGGGGGTGGCGGAGGGGGGCGGCTGCGGCCTGGCCCTTGCCCGTTCTGTTAGGTTAGCTCGCCCGTGTTTGGGCGTCGGCGTATGTCCGGTTTGGCAGGAGGGGCAGGGGAGTTGGTTTGCCAACCCCATGCTGCCCGCCCTGAAAGGCCCGTCTCGCGCTGCGAGTGCCCCGCGGTTTGGCGGGGCGCCCGCGAGCTGGTTGGGGCGCGCCCGTCGTTTCGGCCGCGCCTTCCATGGTTCGGCAACCTCCTCTTTCTTCCTCCTCCTCTTTTTGATCCCCCTCGCGTTGCACCTGGCCCCCCCCGCCCCCGAAAGAGTGGCCGGGAGAGGATCAGCGGATTGCTTGTCCTGGTTAAAAAATCGGCTGCTGCGTGCGAGACGTCAATCAGCCTTACGCCTCGCCCCCAGGAGTGGGCGGCCGGGTGCGCCGCGCCGCGGTCGGCGCCCTGGTCCAACCAGCCGCCGCGCGGGCGGCCGCAGGCTTGCCGGCGGGCGGGCGGGATGGAGGAGGATGTTGATCCACGGTGTCTGGAGGGTGGAGTTTCTTGACGAACATTTATGAGAGCAAGGGCGGTTGGAAACATCGACAGCCTCTCATCACTGCGCAGGTTTGCACTTGGAGACGCACGGCGATTCTGGCGCGTCGGGCGGGACGAGGAGGGATGAGCGATGAGGGGCGAGGACGGATGAGGGATGAGGAGGAGTAAGAGGAGGAGAAAGGAGGAGGAGGAAAAGGAGGAAGAGGAGGAGGAGGAGGCGGAGGAGGAGGAGAAGGCGGATCAGAGTTAATCAAAACCTCACTAACGATGTTGCAATACTTTCACCCTCCGTTCAAGCTCCCTTTTTCATAGGCCCATGCAATCGTTTATTAATCGCTTCGTTCATTCCGCCGGCCACGGAGCACTCTTCAGGGCCTCTTGGGGGCCTCTTGGGGAACTCTTTTGAGTCTTTGGGGGCTCCTTGGCGGCGTCTTGGGGGCCCCCGGGGCCTCTTGGGGGGCTCTTGGGGGCCTATGGGGGAGGGAGGGGGGGTAGTCGATTGCGGTTCCCTCCACAGAGAGCACGATCCTCGTGAGAGGTGTCGAAAAATGGCCCTCCCTTGGAGCGCTCTGGGGACCTGACCGGGACCTGGCCGGGGTACTTTCGTCCGGGGGCCCCCAAGGGCCGCTCCGCGCGCGCGAACTAGAAACATTGGTAACCAGTTACCGGAGATCTCAGCACGCCTCTGGCCCGTTGGGCCGGCGAATTTCCCTTGAGAGAAGTGCCCCGTTTAGGGGCAAACGTGTGAAACTCCTGAGGTGTGCCACACAGAGCACCACTTTTGGGATTTCAGCGCCACGAATCAAATTTGCCGTTGTGTCATGACGCTCCTGAATCGTGCCACAACACCACTTCTGGGACTGCAACGCCGCGAATCAACGTAACTGTTGCGTCCCGACAGTCCAGCACTTTTCCATCTCTGGGACGGTAGCCATGAAAATCCTTGAAACGGTTACTCATGCTGAAAACGATTGTGCGCGGCGTTTTGGCGAAAACCGCATTTTGAGAAGAAGCCGCCTTGCAATCTTTGAAGACGAATGTGCGCGGTGCGAAGGCGAGAGCCAGACTTCGGAAACGGGCCGCCCTCAATACGGGAAGTTCCTGCAAATGTTTAAAACGAATGTGCGCGACGGTAATGCGACGAGGGGTACATTTTGAACACGGACCGCCCTCCATCTTTGAATTTGTTGTCAGTTTTCAAGCAGGAGGTGGAGCTAGATTTTCGACCTCGTGACTTTTCACGGTGTGGACCTCCCCGGGGGAAGAGGAGGAGGAGGAGGAGGAGGAAGAGGAGGAGGAGGATGGGAGGAGGAGGGGAAGAGGAGGAGGAAGAGGGAAGAAGACCAGTGTAAACCCAAGTTTCATTAACGATGTTGGAAGACACCCTCCCCCAAGTTCCGTCTTCATAGATCCCTGCAAGGGTTCATTTCCACTGAGGGAAGTACCCCGTTGGGGGACAAACGGGTGAAAATCCGGAAGCGTGCCAGACAGAGCACCATTCTTGGGACTTCAACGCCACGAATCAAATTTGCTGTTGTGTTTTGACGCTTCTGACTCGTGCCATAACATCACTCCTGGGACTGCAACGCGCGCCTTTGCAGTCCAGAGTCGTTCCCAAACACCGTTTCTGGTACGTTAACCATGAGAACCATTGAAACCTGGGCAAACTGTTCGAGATCCACATTTTGAACACGGACCACCCTCCGTCTGTGTTGATATTGTAAGTGTTTAAGACGAATGTGCGCTGCACGAAGGCGATAACCAGATTTTGAAAACAGGCCGCCCCCAATGCGGGAAGTTCACGCAAACGTATAAAACGAATGTGCTCGGCGCGATTGCGAGAACCAGATTCTGAAAACGACCTGCTCCTCAATCCGCGAAACTCGTGGACACTAACAAACGGGTGCACGCGGCGCTAAGGCGAGAGCCACATTTTGGAAGCGGCCCACCCTCCATGTGTGAAGCTGTTGCCAGTTTGTCAGCTTCAGGGTCGTAAGTGGTAGGGAAATATCAGCCGAAACCCTCAGCCCGCCCTTCCGATTGGCCTCGGGGTGCGACAGGGAGGAGTTATTCACAAGCACCCCTTGAACTCGATGAGCACCGCGGCTACGAGGGACAGGAAACCCACCCGTGGAGCCAGTTAAGAAGCCAGTGGAACACGAAAGATACGCGACACCGCCACATGAGTCCCTCAGTCATGAAGATGCTCACTCTTTCCTAGCCACAGCACCACGAGCGGATCAGGCAGCGCGCACCTTGGCGCGCCGCGCGCAGCGCGCGCCTTGGCGCGCCGCGCGTTCCGACAATTCCGAGGCGACGGGCACGCTTCCCTCGGGCAGCGACGCGCCCCTCGGCGTGCCGACCCGATGATCCACCCGAGGGGCGCCCCTCCCAGGGCGGGGGACCCCGCCCGTGGGAAGAGGGGCGCGCATCCACAGGAAGCCCCTTGCAGGCAGTGGACTCCCCGCCCGCCCAGGCGCACGCGGGGTACAGTCGGGGCGCTGAAGAGGGAGCCCTTTTCGTTGGGGAGGGGCTCCGTGTTCCTTGATTGTTTCACAGCTTGCCCTAGGTTTTCCTCAGGTTTTCGATGGGACATCGAACCTTCACTGGTGGGAAAAAGGGGCCTCGTTCCTTATTTAGGGTTTCTTAGGTCAACGTCCCGACTGTACGTGCCGGGCCACCGCCAGGGGTGGGAGAAGGTGTCGACGGGGTGCAGTTTTCTTTCCCCTTTGGCCCTGGAAGGCAAACAGGGGTGACGACTGGGCTGCACCCTGCTTGTTTGCCAGGGGCGGGCAACCCAGCGGCACAGGTGCCGAAGGTGACGAAAAGGAGGAAAAGGAGCGAGGAGGGAGCAGGTGGACGTCTACGTTTAGTTAATCGTATTTCTCCTTGTACATCTGCTTCTACCGCTACTATTGGAGAGGCCTTACGGCCGGTGCCGCCGACCCTGGACGACGACGACGACGACGACGTCGAAGACGACGACGACGACGAGTAAATATGCTCCTCTCCGCCTCATATCCAAGTAGAACTTAATTTGGATTGCATGCGTTGCACTGTCCGCGTGAACTGAAGCTGCGTTTCCGCAGCCATACGACTGTTCGAGCCAGCCGATCTCGGCTGGCAGGAGAGAAAAGGAGCGCGCTGGGGTGCGTGGGCGGCTCGTCGTCGTCCGTCCTCGGCCGGCCTCCTCCCTTCCCATTCCTGATAGACTAGTCTTGCTTAACGGATACTTGTCTTATCAATGTCTCATCCCGCCTCCGCTCTCCTTGAGCAGAGTGAACATGAGATCTTAATTCCTTTGTCATCTTACCCCGATTCTCAGAGGAAAGACTGGTTATCAGCCGAAACGCGCGACTCAGTCGACGCGGGGCCATTAAATACAAAAGAAGATCTTTCAGTCGTGCCCCGCGATTCAGTCGCTGCAGGAGAGAGCTACGATATGATTAATATCGTGTCTATTATCTCGAGAAGCGCTGATGGGCGCGTTGTACAACATGATGGACACGATACAGACAGAGACGGTCCTGTCCAAGACCGAATCCCTCCTTCATATGTCGCCGATCGGGTCGTGAGGAGGAGAAGTACCGAGGGGATAACCGAAATGTCGGTTGACGTATCCCCCGCAGGGGCTCCGATAGGTGATCGTGAGCAAACCCCCGACCCTCATGGGCGAGATGGCGTCACGCCAAGACCCAGGCGAGGTGCATTCTCGTCATGGAGTGCCAAATCGACGGAGTCAGTAAGCTCCATCCAGAATTTCTCCACAAGCTACTGCCATTGCCGCTGGCGAAGCCAGCCGGCCAGGGGAGCTCCAAGGGAATGCGAATACGTATCCCAATATCCCCGTATAATGGGTGGGTATGCGTGTTGCTGCCCCAACCCCTATAGCACTTAACGGACAATTCGGTCAGGATAGTGATGATCCAATAGACAAAGATCACGAAATATATTCCATGGAGGAAGGTTTTGATAGTATCAATAATGATATTTCCCTGAGCCGAGCGTTGTCCGTGATGATAGAAGAAGGCATCCCTGCTCAAGACGAAAGGTGGTCTCCAGATGGATCCGATGAAGACGCTAGTATCCTGGCGCCTCAGGCGGACAGGACGGAGACTCAAATGAATCATGAGAGGGAGTCCACTGGAAGAACTCCCGCCCCTAACCTCAAGAAACAACGGAATGAGGACTACGAACTAAACGTCTCGCCATGAAAGGAAGGTTTCTTCCATAATGCCACCGCCTCAGGTGAGTGGCAACCCACTATTCCAGCTGTTGTTGAGGATGAAGAAATGGTCGAACAACCATATATATATATATATGCTCAGCTAATAACTCAAGACGAAAAGGATGAGGAGCTATTAAATGCGCCCAAACCACCAGGAAGTATTTTTACTTGCCCCAGATCGAATGCTTCGAGCAGGGGAAGACCCAAAATACCAAGGTCAGGGGCGAGGTCTACTTCAAGGAGCAACAGTACAGTTTCTATGATGGAGGCACGTTGGAATCCCAATCCTGGCTGTGCGCCTCAGGCGGAGAGCAGATGCCCAGGAAAAGCCAACAAGCCTGAAGGCGCATGTAGGAACCCAGCGTGCAGGGATTGGTCGGACGTTTGCAGCAAGTGTAACATACAATGGCTGTGCACAGAGTGTTGCCCAATGGGCGAGCACAACTGCGCGCGCCTCCTCGTGCAGTCTATTCAAGACCAGGCTAGGATAGCAGAGGCTAACACTCAGGGTTTCTGACTAATGAAGCGCATCTGGCTGAAGGGGTTCGATTGGACAGAGAAGAATTAGCTGACACTGTAATCGAAGCTAGAAAAACGTTTTGAGGCTGAGCGGATCGCCCTAGCCATGGCTGCTAGAGAGCGTGAACAGGCGCCGATAGAACATCTGCGCAATCAGACCGAGGCCGTGAACTGGCAAGTGGAGAGGGAAGCTG